CCTGTAATGCAAATGTAAATGTTGCCCAATGTTGTCTAAGAGATCTTCCTATCTTTCTCTACTTTTTGTGCATCTATCACAGGTTAACCTATCTTCATTTTAAAATTCTTTTTTTTTCCTGTTCAGCCTGTGTGCTTTTGTTACCCAGTCTTTCAGATCACTATGTTCTTCTGCATCCAGTAATCTATTATTGATTCCGTCTAATATCTTTTTTATTTCAGTTATTGTATTCTTCAACTCTGATTCGTTCTTTTTATATTTTCTATCTAGTATTGTCAATCTCTCTGAATTCTTCCATTCTTTTCTCCAACCCAGTGAGTATCTTTATGATCATTATTTTAAATTCTTTGTTAGGCATATTGCTTATCTCTATTTCATTTAGATCTTTCTTGAGGTGTTTTCTTTTTCTTTCTTTTGGAGCACATTCCTCTATCTTCCCATTTGGTTTGACTTTCTCTTTGTTTCTGTGGTTTAGGCAGAACAGCTACTTCTTATAAATTTGAAGGAATAATCTTGTATATGGTGTCTCCTATGTAGACTGTGTGTGCTTAGTGACTTTTGATGACTGTCTGGAGCTGTGGCTGTATATGCTAGTTACTCTTTCAATCTGTGGCTTTTTACAAAGAGAAAAAAAAGTAATATAAAAAAGAAAATAATAAAAGAAAAAAGAAGAGGGGGAAGAAGATAAGGAAAAGAAAAAAGAACAAAGAACTGAAAACAAAAAAGAAACAAATAAGAACAAAACTAAAACTAAGATAAATTTAAAAGATAATTTTAAAAATAAAAATAAAAACAAACTTCTAAGGCTAAAAGCAAAACAAAACAAAACAAAGAAATCTAAAACTCGGCTTGTTTTCTGTAAGCCAGCACTACTGAGGCTGATTTGGGCTTGTGGACTTGGCTCTCTGAGTTTGCAAATTCACTATGAGCCAGTCTTGGGTTTTTAAAGAGGAAAATGAGAGAATGTTCCCATAGCTCCTTGGCCCTTTTATTTTATTATTTTTTAAAAAAATTTTAATGTTTTATTTATTTCTGAGAGAGAGAGAGCATGAGCAGGGGAGAGTCAGAGAAAGAGAGGGAGACACAGAAACTGAAGCAGGCTCTAGGATTTGAGTTAGCTGTCAGCACAGAGCCTGATGCGGGGCTTGAACCCATGAACTGTGAGATCATGACCTGAGCCTAAGTTGGACACTAAACCGACAGAGCCAGCCAGGCACCCCCCTTTTAAACTATAGCCTTTTGGGATTCCTGGGTGGCTCCTTCGGTTAAGCATCCGACTTCAGATCAGGTCATGATCTCACAGTTTGTGAGTTTGAGCCCCGCGTCGGGCTCTGTGCTGACAGCTAGCTCAGAGCTTGGAGCCTGCTTCAGATTCTGTGTCTCCCTCTCTCTCTGCCCCTCCCCTGCTCATGCTCGCTCTCTCTCTCTCAAAAATAAATTTAAAAACATATTAATAAAAAAATTTTTTTATAAACTACAGCCTTTTCCCTAAGTCCCAGGGTGACCCAGGCTGCTGCAGATTTGTGAATCCTGGGCTTGCTGAGATTCAAGCTCCCTGTGATGACCGGCTGCCCCCACCGGTTATGGTGTCCAGACCCTGCTCCAGTCTAGACTTTTAAGGTGGAGCAGGAAGGCAAACTGTGTTCCTCTAAGTCCCTCTGACCTGGAGAGTGCTCCCACAGCTCCTCCTCCATTTGGTAGGGTTCTAGCATTGTCTCTTTTATATGCTAGTTACTCTTTAAAACCAAGGTTTTTTGTTTTTTGTTTTTTTCTCTACCCAAGGACAGAAGACTCTGTCCCCAGCCCATTAGTACTATCCCTCCCCACTGTCATTCTCAGTGTCCTGGAATGGGGCTTCCCTTTGTTACTATGTCTCTGTCTCTCTTGCTCTTCTCTTGCCATTCTTTCTTTGTCCAAAAGGGGTTCAGTCAGCTGTTTGGTCAGTTCTTTGGGAAGAGTTGTTCTATAATCATTTGGTGAGTTCCATGGAGGAGGTGAGTTCACAGTCTTTCTACATTGCCTTCTTGGACTGGAAGTCAACAGATAGGTGTTTAAATAGAAGCTACAGGACTGGCGGAGATCTTTAAAGAACAAGAATAGATAAAGAGAAGAAATCCAGAGGACAGAGTTCTGGGACACTTTAATGTGTAATGTTCAGGAAGTGGAGGGGCAATTAGAAAGGGAGGCAAATGACAGTGAGTGAGTGTTGTAGGAGTGAAATGACAAGTCCTGCTAGCTGGTTGAGTGAGAGGAAGGCTGAGAAATTAAGCACTAGATTTGTCATTATGGAGGTTGCTGACGCCCTCAATGGAAAAAGAAGGTTGGCATCGGGGTAAACAGTGAACACAGACTTACTTTCAGGGGATCAAGAGAGAAGAGGGTAAGTAGAGACAGGAAGCTGAAATAACTTTTTCAAGAAGTTTTGTTGTAAAAGAGTGTAAAAGGGAGCTAGTTGGGGGTTGGGGGTGGGTAGCTTAGCGTTTGCTGGAGGAAATGTAAGTCCAAAGGTGGCTTTTTATAAAAGGTAAGGAGAAATAACACCAGCTTTGCTTTTCCTGGGAACCAATCAGGGAGAGACTAATTAGAGGTGTGATGTCCTGGTGTCCTTCAGTAAGCTCGAGGGTTGGGACTCAGGGCACTGTGGGAGGTTGGCTTTAGGAAGTAGCATGGAGCCTTCAACCACTGTAGCAAAACAGAAGGCTTTGCACAAATGCAAGCATGTGATCAATTCCATGATGAGGAAGTGTGAGATTCTCCTGGGATTCCTTCTAAATTCTCAGTGAAATAAGGGTATTATCGATAGACAGTGGTGAGCAGGAGACTGAGAGATCCAAAATGACAATGTGTAAAATAATTGGGACAATTGTATGTTTTTGATAGCAACAGAGAATAAGAAATAACACTATTGAGGTAAATATGTGAACACACACACACACACACACACACCCCAAAACAGGAATTTCAGGAGACAATACCCTTACTTCACTTACTTTCATGTCTGTTCAAATCCATCTTAATAACAAAAGGTGAATAGTGAGTCAGGAAATAGTTTCATGACACTGATGGGGTGGAATCTGCAGTCTGGAAAACAGTTATCCAGAAGAACTGAAGAGGAAATTCTCTGAAGATGTGTAAAAAGATTATATGCAGAAAAATAAGCCAGCTTTAAGGGTAGAAGGTAAAAGAAGGCCCATCGGCTTAAGCAAAAGCAAACCATTGTGTACTCCCTGCACCCCAGTAGTTCCTCCTGTCGAGATCAAGATCCCTTTTTATTGTGGGATCCTCTGTTCTCCAGTGACACAGCTCTGAGATCTGTCACTTTTCTTCCTGTCCCCCATTTTTGTAACTCTCTTCATTCATTCATTTGCAAAATTTTAAAGAATCTGCCTGTAAATTCCCATCAGCATCTGTTTCTATTTTCATTGATTTTGTCATGGTTCAGGCCCTGTTGCTTTCTCTCTACCTTCTATTTTTACTTCTCTTATTATGATAGTGGTGCAGTGGGTGTTCATAATAAGAAATTTATTTTAAAAAGACAAAGAGCTAAAGAAAATAAGTACCAAACACAATCTCATTAAGAGGGTGTCTTGCTTCCTTTGTTGGTATATCTACTTCCATTTTGTATGCACATATATTATTTCCCCTGTACTTCTCTATAAACAATTATATAATATAGCCCTGTTTTATAATATGCTTGTTTTTAACAACACATTATGAATTTCTGCTCACATCATTATGTGCTTGGCAAAATCATATTTAATAGCTGTAGGGCATTGCATGTATGGCATTTTAATCTAAACCATTTTGTTGAGTTTGTGCAGTCATGTGCATGTGCCTCTCAGATCTGGGACTACAGGGAGCACAATTTGCCAAGGACCCCTGCTGCTCTGCTCAGAAAAATCGATTCATCTCTTAGCTTGTTGCAAGCCTGCACTTCCCAGTCAATAATAGAGCTCCGGAAATGTATTTAGGCAGGCCCATTTCTGGGAGACCTGGGATTCCTCTGATGAGCGACATTGGTGTATGGTCTCCCAGAAAGCTTTGTAGCACGGTGCTTAAAACGATGCACCACTTTCCTTTCTTCCTTCCCCCAGGACTTGCATGGAGTCTGGAGGCTGTCTCTGCTTCTCCCAGCTCCTTTCCCATTTTCCCTCAAGGGCCTTTCTGCCTCCCCTAAGACATTTCTTATATACATAATCCCATCTTGGCATGTTTCTCAGAAGACCCAAACTAACACAGACTTTAAGGTTGTTCTCGGGTTTGTATTCTGTACAACCGAACCTTCTGATTGCTCAACTCTTAGCACAGCTTTCTTTGTTGAGAGCCCTTCAAACTGCCATTGCTCAATACATTAAGCTTAAGCCCCTCCTACCACCCCCCACTCCACATTTGGCTTCAGCCCATCTATCCAAAGATCACCCAGTGTGATTCTCGCATTCATTTTCTCATGTCTCCTCCCCCAATGCCCAAAGAAAACATCTACCCAGCTGATGCCTCTTTCATTCTAGATTTCCTTGTGACTTCCCCCTGGCCTCCAGTGTTCTTACCCTTCCATTTTAAAGGCCACAGAAATGTGTTTTCTGCAGTGTATTCACTTTTCTTGTCAAAAGGAGTTTTGTTAAAAGGGAGGTTATAAAGCCTAGTGGTCACGTGTGTAGTTTGAAATCGGACAGACCTAGATCATCATTTAACATACACACACACATGCATACACACACGCACACACAAGCCAGGGTGGCTCAGTTGGTTAAGCGTCCAACTTTGGCTCAGGTCATGATTTGTGGTTCATGGGTTTGAGTTTGGTGTGGGGCCCTGTGCTGACAGTTCAGAGCCTGGAGTCAGCTTTGGATTCTGTGTCTCCCTCTCTCTCTGCCCCTCTGCTGCTTTCATTCTGTTTCTGTCTCTCTTTCCCAAAAATAAATAAACATTAAAAACTTAAAACACACACATACAAATTAGCTGAGATTGGATAGGTTTGGGAAAACATTGAGCTAAACAAAAATAATCCAAGATGTTTTTAATTCCAAGACTTCCCAGAGCCCTTAAAATGTTCATATACTTTGTGACTTCCTAAGGCCAGCATCGACACTGTGTAGCTTTTCTTGAATTTATCTGATCACAAAATCCTTTAGAAACAGATAATCTCCAGACATTATTTTTTCTTGGAAAATATACTGGGAAAGGGTAAAAGTTGTCATAGAATTTTGAAGGTATGATTTTCACAGTTCTTTACAGTACTATATGTATTCTTCAATTGTTATAGTATTTGTATACTTATCTCACACATCTTCCCACTTTTAGCCTTTAGCATAAGGTCTTGAAAATAATGGGCACTTGTCCAGTTGAAAAATCACAGAATTTTAGTGAAGGCCCATGGTCTGGAATAATATTTGGTAACTGGAGAAAATTTGCATCTACTTTTCAGTAGCTGTTCTCATCTTTTTTAGACCATAATATCCTGGGCTACTTTGCAAGCTGGAAAAATTATCTTAATGTTCGACCAAAAAAAGCCAAGCCATTGTTAACTGGAGACTAAATACATTTTTCTCTCCAAGTCACTTGATTGGGACAGTTTAGCAGGCCATAAAGGTGGAGATGCATTTTAAGGGCAAGAAAGCAGAAGTCAGCGGGCTCTGGGTCCTGGCACACCCTGGGCAGTGAGGAAGGCAGCCTGTGGCTAGTTGTGATTGTTTTCATTTCCAAGGGTGTGCTTGTCAAAGAGGTACTCTGCCAGGCCAGAAGCCGGGGCCCCCATCTTAACCAAGTTTTGCACGTGGTCACCTAGTTCTTTGATAGATTTCACCTGTTCATTCAGATAGTGAGTTTCCAGGAAGTCGCACAAATGGGGGTCTCCTTTGTCTGAGGCCAGAGCGTGCAATTCGAGCAACGACTGGTTCACACTCTTTTCCAAGAGCAGCGCACACTCCATGGCACGAAGCCCACTCTCCCAGTCGTCGCGGTCAGGTTTCTTGATGTCCTGCAGGCAGAGCCGGCCTCCCCGCTGGTTCTGCAGCCTCATCAGCTTTTCGGCGTGCTCGGTCTCCTCCCGCGACTGGCGAAGGAAATATGTGGCGAAGTTGTTCAGGGCCACGTCATCTCGGGAGAAGTAATAGGCCATAGACAAGTACACATAGGACGCATAGAGCTCCAGGTTAATCTGGCGGTTGATGGCGGCCTCGGAGTCGGGGTGGAAGTTCTGCCGCACCCGGGAGGGGGCGCAGGTGGGCCCGGCGGGGTCCCTCGAGGAGGCGGCTGCGGCCAGCGGGCGGCAGGGGACCGCGGGCCGGGAACCCGAAGGGCGCCCGGAGACGCGGAGCGGTCGGAGCGGTCGGAGCGCGAAGCCTCGGCGCGCGCTGCGCAGGGAAGCAAGCGAACTGCTGATCTGCTTGAAGAGGAACGAGAAACAGGGAGGCATGGTTCCCCTTCTTTAGACGTGGGGAAACTGAGGCCCGGGCGGCTCACCGCTGTGTCGGGAGCCAGGGGCTTCAGGTCTGAATCAGAACGCGGCCCTAGGCGACGGCGACTGTGTCACACACACACGCCTTCGCTTACAGAGGCGCCGAGTTCCACGCCGAGGTCCGTGGGGGCGCGCGCGCCTGTCGCGGTTGGGCGCAGGCAGATGATGGTGACACCCCCATTTAACTAGACACTGCCCCATTCCTCCCCTGGGACGTTTGTAACTTATTATTTCATCCAAGTTAAAAATGCCGTCAAAAAAAGTAGGCCCTGCGACTAGCAAACGAAAGCAGGAGCCACGTACTTGCCCTCCCTTTGTGACCTCTTTCTGTGGATAGACCAAGGGGGGGTGGGGGGGGGGAGTCAGGGCAGCGAAATAGGAGAAAACAAAAGTCACAACCAATTTATCTGAGCGTGAGGGTCCACAGCCAAAGTGGGTCTTTATAAAGTGACTTTCTGGGTTATTTTAACAAATGTAGGTATGGAAATAATTGCCCCGATAGTATATAGGCATATTTTCAAGGGTCTGTAACAAGACAGTGCCTTCTTTTAAAAAGACATTTCATTTTCAAATATAAAAGTTACCTTTATTGCGAAGAAAAACAAGATACTGTAGAAAAGTAGAACGAATAAATAAACTAGCTCTAAACTTGATGTTGTTTCCTGTCTTTGGTTAATGCAGAAACATACACTTGTGGTGAGCATAGCGTGGCTGTAGAGAAGTTGAATCACTATGTTGTACATCTGACACTAATGTAACCTTGTGTGTCAACTAAAATAAAAATTACTAAATTAAAAACAAAAAGGACAATTAAAAAATTAAATTTTATTTTTTAAATATAATTTATTGTCAAGTTAGCTAACATACCGTGTATACAGTGTGCTCTTGGCTTCGGGAGTAGATTCCCATGATTCATCACTTACATAGAACACCCAGCGCCCTCCTTGTGCCCACCACCCATTTCCCCCCCATCCCTCCATCAACCCTCAGTTTATTCTCTATATTTAAGAATCTCTTATGGTTTGCTTCCCTCTCTGTTTCTAACTGTGTTAAAAACTTAAATTTTAAACTGGTATTTGCTTTTAAAAGAATATCTGTAATTGTGCTGTATTGAGAAAATGAGGATTAGCTTGCAGAAGAAAATTCAGAAAATTTCTATCTTTCTCTCCCAGAGAAAACCATCAGTAAAATATTGTAATTCTCACAGATTAAAAGAACATTAAAAAATCACAGAAACACAAAAGGAAACATATACATTATTAACAGTTTCAGAGAGGCATAATTGACCTAGAATAAACTGCAGATACTTCCAGTGTACAAGTTGCTAGGGTCTGACAAAGGTATATGCCCATGAAACCATCACCAGAGTCAAGGTAATGAACATATGTGTCAACTCCCAAAGTTCCCTCGGGTTCCTTTATATTAGTTTTTTGGTTTTTGTTTTGTTGGTTTATTTAAGTAAACTCCAGCCCCAACGTGGGGCTTGAATGACCACTAGATCAAGGGTCGCATGCCACTGAACCAGACAGGTGCCCCAACTCATGTTCCTTTATGTTTTGTAATCACTCCCTCCTGTCTCTCTGCCTCACCACATCCCAGCCATCTGCTGGTCTGCTTTTCTTCACTACATAGCTTTGTCTGTATTTTACAGAATTTCATATAAATAGAATCCGTGTATATACCTTCTTGCCTGGTTTTTATCACTCAGCACAATGGTTTTGATATCCATCCGTATTGTTGTGGATATTAATAGTTTTTATGGTTGAATAGTATTCCATTGTGTAGAGATAACACAATCTGATTGTCCTGTCACCATCTCATAAACACTCTCCTTATCTACACAGGAGAAATGGCTTTCAACTATTTATAAAGGAGAAAAGGCTACTATTATAAATATTCTTGTACAAGTCCTTGTGTGGTTGTATGAGTTCATTTTCCTTGGGTGAATATTTTGCATGTAATGGCTTGGTCATATGGTAAGTGTAGGTTTAACTTTTTAAGAAACTTCCAATTGCTTTTCCAAGTGGTTGTACCATTTTATATTGCCATCAGCACTATGTGAGAGTTCAGGTTCCTTCACATCCTTGCCACCCTTGGTATTTTAGTTGATTTAGTTTTAAACTTAAAACTTAAAATTTAGCCATTTTAGTAGATGTATACTGGTATTCCATTGTATATTTAATTTGATGCCCATTCTTACTGATGATGCTGAGTATATTTGCTCACACTTCTTTGCCAATCATATATATCTTTGGCAAAGTGTATATTCAAAGCTTTTTGATATTCAGCCATTTCTTAGGATTGTTTAATATCTTATGGTTAATATCTGGGTCTTTGATATCAGTGTTTCTTATATTCAGGTCTTCTTTCTGTTATCTGTATGTTACCATCTCTGTATTACTTTCTTATATTTCCTTGGGCAAATCACATTACCTTTCTAAGTTAACTTCCTCAGTTGTAAATTCAAGACCCTACTTATTTCCTTTGGATCAGTGAAAGGAACCAATAAAATAATTATGCAGAGGACTTATCACAGTGCTTAACAGAATAAGTATTCAAAATATTCTTTAACAGTTACTACTGCATAGTTTCTATTTGATTATTCAAAATCATTCATTTTCAATTATTCAGTAAGCAATCATTATTATTATTGCATATAGGAAAACGTATACAACTTGTAAAGTATGCTTATGTGCATTATTTTGCTATCATGTAGGAATAGTGAGGTAGAAATTCTTTTATTATCTGGAATTATCAAATGTGTAGTTTGGTAGTAAGCTCCCTGATCTCAGATGAACTTTAAAGTGTATGATAAATGAAGGTAGATGCCTAAGATCTAGTTGCACTTAAACTCTGATAGCAGAATCTGACTGATACTCACCAAGAAATGTCTCACTAATTTTTGCTTTTCTGTATCCATCTTTGCTTTTATTTTCTTCAAACTTTGTTGCTCCTACAATATGGTTCCCTAAAGAGAGGTTCTGAAAATGATCCTTTAGAGTGGTATTAAATGCCAACTGCTGCTACCAGTGTTTTAGTAGAAATGATGCTCTTCATATAAATGCTTATCCCCAAGGTAATAAAAAGCAGAGATAGAAAACAAATGCAGTACATGAAATGTAATGCAAAACAACGCCATAAAATACAACACACACTTAAATATCCCAGGTTAATTTGTCAAAAATGTTTCTTGTTCCTTTACAAAGTTGATCATGTATTTTGCTAGACTTTGAAAAGGCAAAGATTTTTTATCTGGGGGACATTTTGATTTCTAGTATTCGGAGTAAAATTAATGGTCTTCCACCAAAAGGACACACCTAGACAATGGTCCATCATTCCTCACTTTTCTTCCTCAGTTTTAATGACTTCTTCGCCTCCTTGAACACCCATCTAAGCTTTCGAGATTCTCTGGTGTTGCCTCTACTTCCCACCCTCCTGTCCTCTCCTCTCTTACTTCCTCATGAAATCCATCTCATCTTTTTAGGCCCCATCAAATATGTTCCTTTTTCTGTAAAATCTTAAGTAATTTCGTTTGGAATTAACCACTACTTTGTTGTTGTTGAAGACTTTGTTTATACTGAGAGTGTATCATATCATATGGTTGTATATGGACATGGACATGTGCATACTTGTATGTGTTGGGGTATGTTTGCGTGTGTGTGTCCTTAAGGGAACAGCTTATCAGCCTACTCATTGTGTGTGTGTGTGTGTGTGTGTGTGTGTGTGTGTTGCAGTTGACACATAATGTTCCATTAGTTTCAGGTACACAGCATTCCCTAAGTCTACACATTATGCTATTCTCACCGCCAGCGTAGTTACCATCTGTTACCATACAACCCTATTACAATGATTACAGTACTGTTGACCATATTCCCTGTGACATACCTTTCATCCTCATGACTTACTCATTCCATAATTGGGAGTCTGTGCCTCCCACTCTCCTTCATGCATTTTGCCCACCCCCCACCTCCTCCCCTCTGGCTACCCATCCTACTCATTTTTAAACTTTTAGTCCTGGCACAATGCTTCTTTCCCCCAGATGAATGGGGATAGGGATTTTTATTTCCTATAGCACATCAGCTTAGCCTCATGCGCGTCTGTCAAGTATATCAGGAGATGGCTTCACTTTAAGTTATTAGAAAAGCTCTGTAGTTTGCGGATTTCAGCCTTTAAAGGACTAAAAGTATCCTCTATTTTCTTCTTTAAAGATGTATTGGGTAAAGTATTTGTTTTATATATGAAAATGCTTTGCCACTTGGAGATTTAAGAACTATAAGAAAGTGGATTATAATTCACTGAATCATGTTTTGATATTATTTTCTTTAAAGCATTTTAACATTAAATACTTTTTTAGAATTTACCTACCTTGGAAAATATTTAAACAGCACTCTATACTTTTACATTAATAGATGGGAGCAGAGTCGTAAATAATGAGGGAAAGGAAAAATGAAAAGTAACTCTACTCTTTTGTACTTGTACATATTTTTACTGAAGACATATTTTCTCATTTTCTTTCTTTCTTTCCCTTTCTCTGTTTTTTCTTTCTTCCTCCCCATCTCTTTTTGTTCTTTCTTTTATGTTCAAACATGGTTAATCACACAAACAATTCTTCATCTTTATTACTGATCCTGGCCCTTTCAAAATTGCTTGCTGTTAAAAGCCCAAAATGTGACAAAAACTAGGGTGACGAGAAGTCCATTGATCACTGGAATATGGATTATGGATTATGGGTTATGTGCTTGCTATTAATGGAATATCTGAGGGTTTTGAACAGAGAGCAGTAGAGGACTTTGTCTTGGGAAGAGGAGAATGTCTTATGATTCTGTGTGGTATCACAAGGAAAGCTCTGAAAGTTCTAAAGGGAGTGGTTGGACTCAGCTGTGGAACACTTTCTTGCCTCATTCTCAGATCCATGCAGAGCTGGGAAATCTCCCAGGTCACTTGATAAATGAGTCAGAACTGCAGTACAGACTGCCTCTAAAGCTAGAAGAGGTCTAGCAAATTCTGTTTTATCCATA